CTGACAGAACGTCACGCAATGTCAATTTCGCCAGTCGCCAGTATTCGTGAACTTTCTTTTTTAACTGACTGTCCCAAGAAAGCAGATTCTGGTTCGATGCTCCATTCATTTTCGTTTTCCAGTTTGGTTTTGGACAGTTCCAATTAAGTTGACCTGGAGATTGTAGACAGAATTTGAATTTAGCTACGTGTAGAAAAGTTGCCTAAAAATCTAAGAGTACTGTGTAGGATGAAATTGGCAATTCAAGATTTCGGGAACCCTGAATTTTTCTTCCAATTTTCATTTTTAGGAGCTGAACATTATCAAGCTGCATTCATAAGATAAGGTTACAAAACTTTTCCTAATCAAGTGAGATTTCCAAATTCGGACAACAACTGAATTTTCCTAAATAAACAGTCTTCTGTCTTTGTTATTAGCAGTCGGAAAAAATTTAAAACGTATCATATTATTTCCAAATACCCGCCATGGTTAATGAGTAAAGGCTCCTAACAGTAAAGGACACTTTCAGAGAACCATGAATTCTAAGTCCGATGATTTAATAATAATAATAATAATAATGATATAAATGATAATAATGATAATAATAATGATAATAATAATAATAATAATAATAATAATAATAATAATAATAATAATAATATAGTTTATTTCTGACCACTTGCAGCCAGTGGCTGAATTACGGGTACAGTTTTTAAGGTTGAGAACAGACGTCAGCATATCAGAAATTGTCCCTAATGTAATAATTTGTTCATCGTCAAAGAGAAAACGATACTTTGAGGAAATTGACCTGATTATGTCGCCATGTAGGGTCGGCACTCATAAAGGGACTAGTAGCAGGGACTTGTTTCATGGACTAGCCCGCGGTAGGATTTACACCAAGGGACCAGTTGCCGGGGACAAGTCCATTGGAGGGTTAACACGTTGGGACCTGTTACACGTCGAAATAGCACAATTTAGTTGATTTTAACTGAATTGGAAGTATTTGCATTGGTTCAAGGTAAAATTCTTAAGCTGGAATCTTAAAGTGCCCATGAAGTAAAAATTTCTTTTGCATAATTTTGTAGCTTATTATGAATGTACATGAGATGCTTAACTGTCAAGCCGTCACTGGCGAATATCACTGGAATAATAATAATAATAATAATAATAATAATGAACGTTCTTAATACGCATTTAAGAATCTCAATGCGCTTACAATAAATAATAAAAATAATAACGATGACAAATTATCAATAACAACAATAAAAATTAAAACACTTAAACTACAAAGGTGACNGTGTTAGCTATTAAAGTTTATTAAAGTTTATTAAAGTACTATTCACTGGTTATTTAAGACAAAACATCAGTTCGGGAAACTGCCCGCCATTCACATTAGTTCCATTAGTCACGTGGGTTGTCACTGGTAATGAATGTGAAAGTTACCCCTGAACACTGAACAGAACTGACACCGCCGAATCCACGCTTAAATGAAGGACCTCTTATTAAAGCAATTAAACGGTATCGGGTGTTTTTCTTTAAAATGATTTCCTTGTCAAAACTCATTTCAAAAACCACTGTAACAGAATTTCTCGCTCTGCAATTGTTTTGTGAGTACTGGTCCAGTTGTCAAAGACGTCAGCACTGTCTCAGATCCGACCATCATGATTGTCAGCTTGAATTCTACCGAATAAGCATTGTCCTCTTTACCAAAGAAGTGTACTACACACAATGAAATGTCTTTGTCTCACGGTAGAGAAATCGGTGACATCAGGATCGCAACCATAACTCCATCTACCATTCGGTAATGATTTGAATCTGCCACATCGTAGAATTACATGGTTAGAGACAAATGTTGTTGTCTCGGGAAATCCCGTTGGAGACTCGGAGACAGAAGTTAGGTGTTTGACAAGACTGACAGTTTCTTCTTTTGTCAGAATATCACTGGTTAAAACAACGCTTGAGAAATCCTCGAGTTTCATTAATAAGAAGCGCAGTGCCTTAACTGTTAGTTCTCCAATAACTTTTCTTTTTGTGGCACAATTCGCCTCTAAACCCTCTCACATTCTTCAGTGGCCCACAAGTCAACAGCTTTAAACAGATCTATCTCTTCGATCGTCAAAAGTGTCTCGTGTGAGTACTTCCATCTTTTTTTTTTGTTGTCGTTTTTTTTGGGGGGGGAGGGGGGAGGCGAACAATTTTAAAAGATTTGCTTATTGAAGAATAAATTTTCTTTATTCTATTACTTAAAGTAGTAGATTTTGTAGGATGTTTGTGTGCAAGATTTTATTTCAGGGACCCTCAAGAGTTATATTCGTCATCTGGTAATCTGCTAATAGATTAACTGACGTAAAAGATTGTTTTTTTTTTCGCTACAGGTTTTATCCATCTGGGAGGGAACGACGAATGTTCTGTCATGATTAGATGTACTTCGCTCCATTTCTAAAAGTCAAGGAAAGGTAATAATCACTGAGATAATTGACACAAAAACAGAGTAGAAGAGATGCCATCAGCAACAAATGTTACCTTTTTAAGCCCAAATTGTTTTGTACAATTGCTGAGCTCGTTGATTGTTCCATCAAAGTTGTGTAGAATGCTGAACCCTCCGATAAAGCGTTTGAAAGGAAACAAGTCAACCTTTATTATGCCTTCAGGCGATGATTGGCGAAATATTCCGTTCCTTAGAGCATCGATAAGTTCTCTTTCAGCCCCGGCTATATTGCTCTGGTTTCACACCCTCTCGCCTACGGTACACCCCTTCTGAATTTGCGAGGTTAAATTAGTTAAATCGATTCGTTGTTTCAAGCATATATTCTCCAGGTTAGAAGCTGGAGCCTTAGATAAGGTAAGTCGCCTCAAAATACAGCCCAATCACTCCACGAGTTTCATGAACCCTTGCTTTTAGATATCAAGTCGTCTAAACAGTAACCGGCAGCAAGTCATCGAATGTCCCATTGTGGTTTATGATTTCAAGTCTTCATTAAACTAAGATTTAATGTACATTCAGCAAACATCTTCTTTTTAGTCGGGCAACCGACTGGAGGTTTACCATCGGGTTTCTCCACAAATCTCCGTCACGTGCAATGGGGAATACCGCAGACACGTAATAATTAAGGCGCAACCTTTTCTGCACGATCTCGAAGATGGCGGATATGTCGAATGTGTTAACAATTTGTTTCATCTTTCTACGCTCAAACATACAGACCCACACACCGTTCGCGGCAGACCCTCTCTAAAAGATGGCGCGTGTAATGAGCGTATATTTCGAACCGGTCGTTCCGCGAACTCAAAATAGCAAAAGAATCAAATGATTTAGCGAAGGTCTCTCTAGAATCAAACCAGAAATCGAATGAGTCATCAGTGAACAGAAAATGTGGACAGAGAGACAGGAGAACATTTGCTGATAATTACAAGGTGCCTCGTGATCAAACTCTGGGAGACGACAACAAAGATGCCATGTTGGACTTTCATCAGTGAGGATAGACGTAATTGTTATATTTATGTGACTTCTATCATGATTACTTAATTTTGTTATGCTTTTGCTCAAACGGAGTATATTATCTGTTGTTATTTTTTTGTTCGTTCTATTAGTTATGTCGCTTTTGTGCGAATATTAAATTCACGTATTTGTTACGCAGGAATGTTTGTTTGGTACCAAACAACACGGTGTCAAATGAATGTGAATAATGTATAATTTTGGACAAAGTAGCGCCATGCAGACAACAAAAGTGTGACGAATCAGAGTTGTGTGCACAACAAAATGATGTTGCAAAGGAAATAAAGAATGCAAAAGAATTCAGATCTCATCAGGCGGTGTTTGTTAATCGTTTTGATATTAATAGTGTGATTCTTAGTAATTGCAGAATATCAGTACAGTATGTCTACAGAAAGGGCTTTTGAATCACTTGTCACAAAATTACGCTTTATTTATTCTGACAATAGAATGTAAATGGTGTCAGTGTCTATTATACTGATAATGGGGGTTATGAGATATTTGATTATCATGCAAGAGACGAATATGGTAGAAGCCATCCCTCAGGTACATGTGTACTATGAGAAGTACCATCTGTTCAGGGCTTAGTACAGTATTTCCAGACTATACACTCCCTCAGGGATGATTATGAACTCAGAGGAGTGCAGATAAGTACATATGAAATAACTGCAGTGAACAGTTTGAGAGAAGAACACAACTGCTCTTGAAAAAAATGCTCTGCTGTAGGGCTTTATGCAATGTGTTACTAATTGACAAAGTCTTGTAGTTATTAGAATTCCAGAACCCTATGTTGCATAGCTGACCGAGGAAATAAATTATATCATAACATGAGTATCAACAGGAATCTAAAAAGGGAAGATTTATACACGAGTCTTAATATTTGTGGAGTTGAGATATCAGTCCAAATTAAAGCTCAAAGCTATGGGATGTTGTCCAGTGGTTTAAACTATAAAAAAAAAGTTGGAAAACTTAATTTTCAACAACTACAGTTGACATACAGGGTTTTTATAGTGCCTTGCAAGTTACTGTTAGGTATTACTTGTATTTTTCAACAAACAGTCAGAGCAAAGTACATGTTGTCCTTATTGACCTATGAAGATACTTGTGAACTTGCAATACAACAAATGAAAACAGGTGGTAAACCATCATTAGAACTAGCCATAGATGCAAAAAGCTCTGCCTGTGACCTGGCACTGGTTATGAAGGGACATCCAGATTTCACAAGATCATAATACTTGACAGTCATTTGAAAAGTCCTACACCGTCAGCTGCTGGATAAAGGCTTTCACTCACTAATTCAGTAACAGAATTTTTTGATAAACAATATATGATTTTCTGGATTGCTTGTGGTCATTAGAGAGGCAGACTCAAAATCAAGCAAAATTAGACGGCAAAAAATGATCATGAAATCTGGTTTGGTTAGGAAACAGAATGTGCACCACTACGTGGTGACACGTAGTCTTTTGTGCCCTACAAAAAGATCCAAAAGTAGTCCATCTAGGAAGCTGGTTAGCAGTTTCGGCCTGAGCGGGCCTTATCGCCGTGACGTAGCTGATCAGCCAATGATCAAAAGACTAAAGGAATATCGATTATTTTTAAAGCCGGTTTTTGAGGTCAGTACTTTAATCTATCTTCATTCTCCTCTACTTGTAATACGTACACTGGCTGATTTTATATCTCTTCCAAACAAATGTAGATATCTTTATTACCTCGTTAAATTATCTCGTGAATTTTATATGATCTTTATATTTTGTATGCTACAGATGCTTTATTGTTTCCCTGTTCCAGTGCCTCTCTCAAATTACTTAGAGTACTTTTTGTTTTTTATGAAGAAACAACTGCATTTTTCGCTTGAAATTCTCGATAAGCGCAAGAAGAGTGTGCTTGTTTCACTCTATTTGGATCTTCTAAGTGGGATTGCTTGGGAGTTCATTTAAACAATGGTGGACAAGAGAAGGGTTCAAGTCGTAGGACAAAGAAATGAAATTGCAGAACGAAGGTAAGCCACAATAAGCGACAAAAGGAGGTGAGTTAATTTCTCCAAGAAAATGAGTCTTTTTTTTGTTAAGGTCACATTTTCTCTTTATGCTGCCAGGTTTCCTTTTTCAATGTTGTACACAACAAAGCGGCCAAGAGTGGGGTATCAGCGGAATCTAATCAGCTAGAGGTGGAATTTGTCCAACCTTTAGAAACAAAGGCAAATGTCTCCAACTTTGTGTCGCTTATTGTTGCAAGAGCGACGTTTCCATTATGGGCATTGCAAACCATGCTTATCATTAGTAGGGGTTGAACTTGTGTGTGGAATTTGACTGTGGAACAGGAATATAAATCCCTTTGAGGTTGAAAAGTAGCACCCAATGCCGTCAATGAAGATTTAATAGAAGAAGGAATGGTGCACAGTCGAAGATTTTATACCAGGGGAAAGTCAGAGCAGCGGAGAATATCACGTCTACCCAAAACTCCAAAGCGCCACTTCCCTATCAAGTGAGCACAAAGGCTACAAGGTTGATAAGTGAATCTGGAACTAAAGAACAGCCAAGGAGTTTTTAAGGGTAAGTACAGGACGAGCATTTTTCATATTGGGACATAACCTGGTTCATATTCGGGGCAGATTCACTCGTATGGAATATCCTCTTCCCCCACCCAGAATAGCCCGCTATCAGGTTCCATTTTAAAGTTTCGTCATTATTAAAAAAAAAAAAAAAAACATGAAAAGGTGGACAACCAGGGGTATCCATCAATAGCTTTCTGAAAGTCTTCCTCATACGACAAGGAAGAAACGGAGACTTTCATAAAAATCCACTTTTATTTATACGGTGTATAAAAAATATCCTCCCACATAAGTACTTTGAGCACAGACACTCCATCTTCAAAGAATTCGTGGTTTTATCTACTCTTCTAAGTAATAACAAAGTACCAAACTTTTTAAATCTACACCCAATTTCCTGAGAAATTCTGAGTATACTTCCTAAGATTTACGAACCCTACCCCATCCGGCCAAACGCAATACAGGAAAAGAAAATCAAATAACGAACTAAGTAGAAGCCAAGACAAGAATATGCAACTTGTGCGCAGCGCAAGAAAATGCGATCGATTTTGGACTTGCTTCTTACTGTTTCAAATAATTTAACATGTAAGTTTTAACTGCTTTTGACCTACTCTTTTGAATCAAGAGGAGAAGAGCTATTCTGTAGATACAATACATCTGACTCTGTCATTTCATCTGCTTTACACGTGTTTGGCTTTCAAAGTGCTTTTATCTTAAATGCATTGCGGTGGTTTGGTCATGTTCATGCGGAATTTGTAATTTCTTGTTCAGAGTAACTAGACATTTACTTGATACGTACTGAGAGAGATATAGCAAATTCATGATAGTCAAATAATTACTTGATATACAAATGACGCACATTGTATGCATGATGAAAGGTCTGTGACTTCATTTCTCGATTTTTTAAGATTGCGTGGAAGGCAGCTCTGTGTGAATTTGAACTGTATTCGTGGAGTTCGAGTTCTTCAGCAGGTCTTCGTTACTCTACCCTCGAGCAGCAGGATTACAGCATCTCTGTGGACACCAGCCCATACAGATTTTGGTGCAGGTAGCGGGGCATTTGGACTGACCAGGAGAGTTTGGAAGAAAGCTTCTTATCACTGGTGCTACTTTTTCGGTGTGTGGACCTAAGGCGAGGTAGATTTATAAATCAGTGTTTGTCAGATAGTCGTCTCTATTTAACAGTCATTCAGGTCTTAATCTAATCGCTTTATCGTGTTTTCTTTTAATACTTCTATTTTTTTAGGATAAGATTTAGGTTTTTTTTTGAAAAGTATTGCATTAATAGTGTACATTAAACTTCTTAGAGTTATTTCGGAAAATACAATAGTCTTTAATATAATCAGTTTTGCTAGTTTTCTGAAGTTTTCTGCAGTTTTCTGCAGTCGTACCACTTGTATAGACCAGCGAAGTCGTCGATTGTTTTATTTTTTTCACTGTACGGTTATTTGTTTGTTGAAACCATCAGAAATTTAAAGATTCTTGGTGTGCTACTTTGAAAGGCAGTCCATCACCATCGATTCCTTGAGCGTAGACTAGTGGTTTCTTCACGTGAAAACCGCAAAATTCTAGATTACTTACTAATCTGTTAAAGACGTTCAAAATGAGAGTTTACCCTAAGAAACAGCCAAACGATATCGAAGTCTACTGCGTAATAGTGGGCCTTAAACCCTTAACTCCCTGAAGTGATTAACATGTAACTTCTCCCTATGATATCCATACATTATCCAGCAAACAGGTAATGAGAATACTCACACTTATCAGGTAGAAGTTGTTACCTTGATCTAACAACAAATTCTCGTAACTAATTTGGAAGGAAATGTGTAGCAGCTAGAGGGAAAAATTAGCAAACAGATCTTGGGAGTTAGAGGGTTAACTGCCGAGTGATTGACATCCATTCTTTTATTTCACTTTTCAGTGCTTAAGAGTATCGATATGTTATACTCGAGCGTCATGGATAGTCTGCGTCACAATCACCTCACCTGATGGTTGGCAGTAGCCCCAACGTTTCTCTTTGTCATAATTAGGCGTGGTGGCGCACCAAGAACGATGAGTCTGCGGATCAGTTATACAGTGGTTCATCACCGCGCCGTGGAACACGAAAGGAAGAGCACAGCATTTACCACTGTAAGTTTTGAGGCATATAGACACTGAAATGTGACAAAGGGAGTGGTAAATACAGAGTTGTGGAGAGGGGAAGGGCAGATTTAGCGTTTTGACTCCCTACCCCCTCCCCCTGCTTTTACCCTACATGAAATCAAGCTGGGTGTTTTCTCGTTTCAAAATAAAAATTGCTCATTAAATCGTAGCTTCAAAACTGTCACTTCAGCTTCCAAACCTCTTGCTATTGTTTTAGATCGGTTTTTCATTCTTTTCAAATTTTTACCTTTGAAATCGGTGACGTTTATCTTATAAAAATCGAAGCGAAAAATTATCGGCATATTATTACAAAGACACAACAAAATTCTGCGACGTAACATCTTGTGTAGAAGCTTCACACCACCAAAGTAGGAGACGGGGACTAAATTCCTTCGAAGTTCCTCATTCATCATTCATAGCATCTACCCGCGTGACTGTATATCTGCTGTTATCATTATTTACATACCAGGACACGGTGTCTGAATGCAAGTCCTGCTCTCGAGACTTTGTCCCTTGCAGACCTTTCCTAGTTTACACGTGCGTGTCCTCGTCTGCAAGCTCTTCCCGCAGGTGGCCCCACAGGGTCCAAATGCGGTCCACTGTGTAAAGTTATCATCTCCTTTTCCAAGCACGGCCTTTTTGGCTGCTTCCATGGACGATTTGTATTCGTCGTTTTCGCGGAGGTGCTCAATTTCTGCAAGAAAAATGTTTGAAACATTGTAGTCTACTGCGAGGATCGTGCATCATACGTATCTAATACCGCAGTTCAAAAAATATATATATATGAACTTTATATATTCATTGTATCTGATTTATCATCACGGGTTTATTACGAATCAACTTAACGGCCTGCTCCCAGTTGGCTTGTTAGCTCAATTGGTAGAGCGCTGCAATAGTATCGTAGAGGTCAGTGGTTCGAATCCCGTACAGGCCTGATTTTTTTCAGGTCTGATTTTCGCTATTGCATAAATAGCGCTCTCTACTGCGAGGATCGTGCATCATACGTATTTTAGTGTACCGTTCGTCATCACAAGATCTAACTCACTTCACGTCTACAAGTAGACGTTAAAAAGGTGAATTAGCCATTTAAAAGATTTACAGATGCAAACGTTTTGAAAGGCTTGACTATCGCTGTTTTCTCGATGCCGGTCTTCGATTCTCTCGAAAAAATACCAACCAGCCGATTCGTGGAGGAGTGCCGCGCGCAGTCTCGTGCTTCGAGAAGCGGCCTATAGTCGAGTCGAACGTTTCTACTGCTATGCTCTTCGTTGCAATAAAATGTCACTGACACAACCCTAATCATGGTTTTAACTTAAGCGAAGCGTTGCAGAATTAAAATTAAATTTTTCGCGATTCTGAGAGATTTTCTCCGCACCGGTTGTTCTAGACAGGCCAATAAGCATGGACTCCATCTGTTGCAAGAGATCCTACTGATATGGCTTAGCATACCAACGCATTCTCTTAAGCCTAGTTAGTAATGGATCTGACTGCCAAATCGCAGGCTTGAATCTTCACTGGGTATTTAATATTTTTTCTTTGTCCCATGCTCGTGGTAAATCTGTTCAAATTATGTCCCTTAAATATCTTTAAGTTTCACACAATTTTCCTTGAGGCCGCCTGGTCATTTATTTTGGCTAACTGAAGCCCTTCCCCACATCGAGAAAAGCATGCACTTGTTTACCTTTATTTCCTATCTGCCCATGGTGTGACATCACTACACTTCTAAATGGCATATCACAACCTCCTGGGGTGACGGCGATTGCGTTATTATTATTAAGTAACACTTCGTTGTCTCTGTCGTCAGAGTCACGGGCGTAGAAAATCACGTGGTGATGTTTTCGTGGATGTTTGAAGATGGTTTTGAGTTTGAAGGTCTCGGCAGTGACAAGGTAACCTTCTAACTTCATACTGGACACCAGTGTGATTGGTCGGCGGACTTTGTTGATGAACTTGAGACTGATGCACTTGTCTGAGGAAGGATGAAAATCATAGATGGATGAAATTAGATGGATGAAAATAGATGGATGACAATAGATGGATGAAAATAGATGGATGTAAATAGATGGATGAAAATAGATGGATGACAATAGATGGATGAAAATAGATGGATGTAAATAGATGGATGAAAATAGATGGATGACAATAGATGGATGAAAATTAATGGATGGAAATAGAAGGATGACAATAGATGGATGGAAATAGAAGGATGAAATTCATAGATGGATGAAAATAGATGGATTTATGCGCAATATTCCTACACAGATTAGGACTTTCCTTAGATATAACTTCAGACTAATGTACTCGTCAGAGGAAGAATGAAAATTGATGGATGGAAATAGAAGGATGACAATAGATGGATTAAAATAGATGGATTTATGCGCAATATTCCTACACAGATTAGGACTTTCCTTACATATAACTTCAGACTAACGTACTCGTCAGAGGAAGAATGAAAATTGATGGATAGAAATAGAAGGATGACAATAGATGGATGAAAATAGATGAATTTATGCACAATATTCTTACACAGCTCAGAGACCGAGAGAATTAGGACATTCCTTGAATATAACCCCTATTTTGGTAAAAACTGGCATGTTGTAAAGAATATAATGTTCTTGTATTCTGATATTATCAATACTGTTGTTCGATGGAGGTTAAGAAAAAGGGATTTAAAAAAATTATGACCATCAAAGCGGTTGCGAGTCCACGCACTATTTGAGCATGTCCCGCTGGTTCTATTGTCTTACCAATCTCAAACAAAATGATCTCACCATTTTCCGAGGTTTTGTTCGGCTCGTCGTCAAGTTTGGCTCTGCTTTTCCCTTGCTTGTTGACACCGTTTTGAATGTAATTATGGAAATTAGCGCTGTTTCCCATTAAACTCTGCTTTCCAACCGATATCAATCCTCCCCAAGATTTACCAGGGAATTTATAGCTGTTGAGCAGTTGTGGTGGACCTGGTTTATTCAACTGCTGACGTGGTAACTGTGAATTCGGAGTTTTAAATGCCAACTGATTTACCAACGGCCCACCTGGTGAAACAAGCGCAGGCGCATTGAGGAAATTATGAGGTGCGCTCAATATTTTTTGTGGTGGTATCTGTTGATTGAGATAATTCAAAGTTCCCTGAAACTGTTCCTGTTGTTTTTGTTTTTGCTGCTGTTGTTGTTGTTGCGGTTGTTGTTGTTGGCGAAACACAGGCCCTAGTCTTGTAAACTGTTGAGCTGAGTTTTGTTGTTGTTGTTGTGATTGCTGGCTCCTATATGCACTGTGGATGAAACCCAGTGCCTTCGCAGTTATCTTTGCTAGCTGATTAGGCAAAGTATTTGGAGTTGTTTTATCTTCATTTGGAAACTCGAAATTCAAAGTAAACTGTTGTTTTCCATATGGGTTCGGTTGATTTGTAGCTTGCTTTGACACAAACGATTGCAGTTGGCCTGTTGGATTTTTATTAAGTATGGAAAAATTCCCTTTATTCAGCGAATTAATTTTTGGTCGGGCAAACGGTTGTATTTTTCCTGCTATATCTTTGTTTGACACGATAGCATTTCCTTTAAGCTGAAGATTTGTTTTCATTTGCGCGAGCGACTGAATCTTTCCAGTTTGATTTTTATTTACTGCGGCCGTGTTCTCTCTCACCAGTGGATTTATTTTTGCTGTTATTGAAGAGGAACTTTTGCCAAGCCTGTTATAAAAGGTTGGATTGCTTTCCAATTTGTTTGTGGTTGGAGCTTCAAGCTTGTTCTTGCCTTTTCCTGAGAATCCATTTCCAGTGTCTGTAATCACAACTTCCTGCTTCTCCTTCTGCAGATCGATCTGTGGCTTTCGCGTGCCGTTCGTGACCTGCAATTCGAGCGTGACATCTGCACTTTTCAAGCCATGAAGTAGCCCTGTTCTGTTCGTTTGCTTTGTTGAATTCATCGTATCCGAGTCATCGTCAAATGTCAGCTCAAAGCTTCCGTTTTTACCAGCAGTTACGTTCGATAATGCTAAAGGCGCGCCGTTACTTTTACCAGAATTTGTCTTGTTTGAAAGCTGAGCGTCGTCAGTCTTATTAAATCTACCGCTTATTAACGAAACCCCTTTGGCAAGCGAGCCTCCACTTTCGTTCTTGGGAGTGTCTTTTCCTAGATTCTCCACCGAAACGTCATTTGAAATGATACCAGAAAAGTTTCGAACATTTGCTCTCGCCTCTGCACTTTCTTTCTTGGTTGGGGAGAGTTTTAACCTTTCTTTTAGATCCTTTTTGGTCGGTGTTTGAGCCACTGCCATGTAAAGACAGCCCAAAAGAAATTCGTGGCTGCCTATATCAACGTTCTTGGCAACCAGACCAAATTTACTGCTGGTGTCATGGCACATAAACCATCCAGGGTGGTTAAACAGCTCGTAAGCAGCGGCGCCTTTTGTTTGAGTTTTTCTTTCGATAAACGTAGCATCTTTCTCTGAGGATCAAATAGATTGAAACTGTCATGTGTTACGAGTACTTCCTTTCCGTGATCTCGTCTCTTGACTAAGAAAGGGATGCTTGACAGAGTGAGCCGATTTCCTTGATATGGGATGTTATTGTAGGGCTGTGTCTCACAAGGACTGGGAACTTCCGAACTCGATTGACTGAAATCAATATTGAAAGCGGTCTAGATTTTCCCATTTAGACCGGCATCTAGACCGGTCTAGAAAAAAAAAGGTACAAAGAATATAAAAAATTGGCATATAAGACACAGCCATATAATAAACATCTTATTAACCGAGCTAGGTCGGTCTGTATGGGGGAATCTTGACCTCGGTCGCTGGTACAGACTCACTGCGTTCGGTCTGCACTGGTGACCTCGGTCAAGATTCTCCCATACAGACCTCCCGCTCGGTTAATAAGAACTAATTACAAGCCGAGGGATGTGACAGTAGAGTAATTTGCCACAAGAAACAGAAGTCAAGATGTTGCTTGGAAATCGTTACCTTGACAGGGATTCGAGGAAATCTACTGTGGCAATTACACCACGACAACAAGGCGAGAAATGAAAAATTTCTCTGAATTTCTAAGAAAAGTCTTCCTAAGAAAATAGGGTATTTAAGTTTCTAAATAAACTGTTGTACTGCGTCTGGGGGGGGGGGTGGAGGGTGGGGTATTGTAAAGAGTTTTTTTAAAGATGACTGTTCTGAAGAGTTCGCCCTTGGTCAGAGTGAATGAACAGTAACACAGGTTCTTGCGAATTGAACTAATTTTTTTGCTTAAACCTACAAATAGTAGCATTTTTATTTCATCTTACCAAACACTCCAGTGGGCTTATTCCTTTCCAAATGAAACTTGTAATTCTTGTATCGAAGGTAAAGTCCCGGATGAGTGGCAGACTCCAACGACACACTTCCGGGCACGTGTTCGAACCCTGGCCTATGGAAACGGAACGAGTCGGCTCTATTACCGAGAAAGGCGGACCTCTGATTCGCCACGATTCCTTTACCAACTTCTTGGGGGACCGGGCCAATCCCGGCGTCACTTTGTTGAGGGGAGGGTGGGAACAACTTAACCACTGTGAAATTTCTGCTAGCTGAAGAAAGCATTAAAAGTAACTCAGTGAGTAACAGCAGTTTCACCATAATACTTGTATAACAGACGGTATGTTTAACGTTATGAAGGAGAATAGACGCAATGTGGAGAGAGAAGCGTGAAGTGCGAATCACGCGCGAGAGGTGGAGGGAGACTCGACCTTCGCGCACGTTACGCGCTCGTTTCGTGCTTCTTCCTAAAAACTCTTAATATAACTAACACTCTTCAAGCTATTTTTAATGTTAATTCGATAATCACCTTTTTTCTCGATAATGGCAACAGTAAGTTAATTTCGTTAGTCTGAATTATCATAGGAAATTTATGCTATAGCATCAAACTCAACACCCTTAACATGGTGAACTTGCAAAGTGTCATTAAGTCAGATGTGGTTTCAAGTGAGAAATTCAAATTCTTACCGAGTCTGATACAAAATTGAATTGTGTTAAATTGAAGTTTTTTGAAAGTTGCCTTTCGAATCATGATTTCTCTCAAAAAGAGAATCGTTGTTACTTAAAGGTGAATTTTGGATTTCGTTCGCCATTTATAATCTGTAGACAGTGCTTTTCACTTTTCAACAAGAACCAGACGCTAAAATGGATGTTATCAAATATTCATCGCGGTCTCCATCCCTTGTTTTGTATGGTGTGTTTTTAAACGCTTCTGATGTGACATGATCTCTGACATTTCTAAACAAACATATCCTAATATATATAAAAAAGATTTTTCATGCTCTCCTATAGGTAAATGAAGAAGAGAATAACTTGAGTACTCTTAAACATTAGATATCCCGAGCGCTTTCACGATAAACGCCGCAAATGTTGGGCGGACCAGCTTGAAATCGGTTTTAAATCCTTAATTTTTTTTCCATGAAAATAGAATTTGAAAATTTTGTTTTTGAAATGGAATTTACAAATAGTATAGCACAGAGGTATCGTTTGGAATAGTTCCGAGTGATTTACGAATCGAAACTAAGGAGCAAATTTGTGCGCTCACCGCACTGTTCCACAATGTTAAAACCTAATGAACTCATGAATTTGTTTGCATTTAACACTCGACGAATTGCTACATGTGAACCCTGATTTCACATTTGAATTTGTTTATTTAGGTTTACCCGGTTATTAAGAATGAAAAACAAAACAACAGTGTCTTGATCTTTTTCTTGTTTGATAATGCCTGGTTTGAAAAGTTCGAAGTGGTTTAAAAAATGCAGCCATTTTCATGACAAAATGATGAATCTTTGTAGGCGGGCCGTCTACAAAATGGTCACAATTTCGAGATCAATTCGTGAGATAATTCGCGAAATATTTAGAAGGAATTTGAATATTTTTCACGTAAAAACCATGAAACAAGTCCCTCGTTTTCTTACCTGGTAAAGCAGTCACCGTGAGCTGGTAAACAAGTACTAAACACACGGAGAAGTGAACCCGCCGATAAACCATTTCTTCAATTCTACGGTTGTTTCGTGCCTTTAACAATTGTTCACTACTATTGCTTCTTCGTGATTCGAGGAAAAATCATTTCTTGCTGCCCGCGCCTCTGTCAGTGAGGGCGAACTTTAATTCCAAAACCTGAATTTGCGCTCTAAAATACCTGTTAAATTTAAATGAAAGGTCAAGGTTTTTTTCTCAACCTGACGCGATTCCAACGGGTGAACAAACAATGACTTTTCTACCTGTTGCTTTGGTTTGCAAATTGTGCCTTAGGCTTGGAGCATCAAGGAACTGTTTTTTAACCTTTTTGTATCTTATTACCCTGGTATTGCGTTTTACTGTTGAAGTAAACTTGAACTTTTATGAAATTGAAGCTGCCTCCTCGACTTTAAGGAGACCCTTTGAAAGTTTGAATTTTTAATTAGATCAGTCGCAAGTGAGAAATCTCAGGGTTATAAAAAAATCGTAGAATCTTCAATATTCTCAATAGTGCGTTAGTTATACGCTCGATGTCAGTCTTGCAACTTTATCTTAACTCAATTAATTAAGCGAGAGTTTCTCTTTAGGGACCCTGCACCCACAAGTGGTTAACGCGATACGTGAATGGATGCACCGTTGATTATAGTTACACCATTCAAATTTTCACATTTTAGGTATCTCTTTGATATCTTAAAAGTAAGGGACACATTTTAACAAGTATCCTTGGAAGCACCCACATTTAACCACGCTCTAGTTTGTTTAGATTTATGTTGACAAATGAGACGAGCAAA